GTGTTTTATTTCACTACTTTCGAACCCCGGCAATCTTTGTAGAGAATTTTTCTGAGCTTTAAAGCTGTTAACGTTTCACTTAGATATCATTGGGTCACAAACACTGGTAAAGAACAACCGTAGCTGCAGCCTAAATTGACTGCAGTATGAGTACTATTATCGCGACCACAGAACTTTGTCTTACCGAGGATCTTATTAAAGGGTTTGAAGACCTATGAAACAGCTGCATAAAAATTTCAGGAACATTTGTGGACTAAACAGCGAATGCTTTCATTCTTCTCTACAGCATTTTCTCTTCTTTTGCCTATTGAGGGTCTCAGAAAATCAGGGTTCCATCAAAACTTGGTTGATTGTCCACTGACATATCGCAAGCATAGAGCGGTGAACTCTTGTATATAGTTGTTTATTCATGTCCGTGCACATAGAATGTTCTCTCTCCCCCTCCCCTTCCTCCACCCCCTCCTCCTTCTCCTCCCAACTAATATACGGGTTCATTTTCTCAAAGATGAATGAGTTGTGTCAATTTTGACGTGTTTCTGGACAATAAACGTACACTGACGGTTTTCAATTACCAACATAAATTTGAAAAGTGAAACAGACGATGGGGAAGAACAGCTGGCACGTTTCTAGACCACCCTTAATAATCGCTTTTTCATTTTTCTGCCAAAACGTACAATAACTCTAAACCAACTGACTTCCTTCCGTAAAGAAGTCATTAGATTTCCCGCGTTGGACTTAGCCCGGAGCGTTTCAACTTACTCTGTAGTCTATAATTCATGCAATTTAACCAGGTTCGTTGAATACAGCAACGTAATTAATAAACATAATTCAAGGCGGCTCTTGCATTCACAATGTCACAGTGGTTCTAGAAAAAGCTGACATTCAAATGTTGTCGGAGGGTGCTAATTAATGCGCGGTATCGGTGTTTGCGACGAGAAAGTCATATAAGCTTCGTGTCTAACCATATGTGTGCTTCATATAGTCCAGAACTAACTGCAGCTTTGTCTCTGGGAAGCAGCTGTGAGATTTTTGCATAACAGAAAAATCGATCAGAAGCCTGCTCATAACAGATGGATTTTCTCTCCCAGATTAACCACCTCTTTCGGTAAGAGTATTTGATAAATATCCGTTCAATTATCGCAATCCGAATGTGCTTCGTAACGAAGCTTTAGCAGGAAACCTGGTGCCGTTGTTATTGGGTCTTTCATTTTTACAGACACCACTACTGGAAGAATCAATGTTCGAGCGAAAACTTCAGTTTAGACAAAGCTTGATAAGAAATATATTTCTTTTTATCATTCTCCTTGTCACACCTCAACACACGCTCCATCGCGATTTTGTAAGTCACCGCAACGACGATTTGAACCTCAAAAGAAGTCTACTTCAACTTTCCCTTATACTCTAAACAGGGAGATTTCCGGGTATTAATAATCGAAAAGACATGTTATTAACAAGCTCTGAGTTTATTTTCGACCATGCTTTCGAGTTTCTTTGATCGTTTCTTCCGTTATTGAAAGAAAGGTGAAGAGGTGGCGTCGTCACTTTGTAAAAACTGAATTAGCTCGAGCTTGTTGCATGTGTAGTCTTCGCGATATAAAACGACGGGAAAAACTTAAATTAAAGATTTAAGCGGTCATAAAAATAAATGATTTTGATGATGTTTGGTATAATTGTATTCGGCAAAATCCAGTTATTGTCTTAAAAAACTCGCTTACTAGGTCATCCTAGGCCTCTAGCCGAGTTCATGTTCATGTGTGATAAAACACTGCGAAAGTGTAGGTAACTAACTTTATTTGTTGTGCACCGGCGGTACACATTATCCACGTTTTCATGCATGGTTTTAAGGAAGTCATAATTGATTGCAAAGAAATTTGCACTTGTCAACGTTTATGTTAATATTTACAAAACAAATGAATCTATCGGTTTCCGTGGGAGGGCATTTTGTATCTTGCTTCGTTTGTTTGAGAATTTAGGACTATTCTGACTTCGTGCCTTTCGCCTTTGAGACGCTCACGATTGAGCCCCAAGGCATTCTGACCTGTTTAAAACGTTTCAGAGTCTTATAGGACCCTTAAAGAGATGTCAAAACTATCTTTTAAGAACAAAATCGTAAAGTCATTGACATGGTCTCTTAAAATGTGTGGCTTTTTTAATACTGTTTTTCGCTTCAGCCGCTTTCTAAAGTCATTACTTTTCAACCCGCTTTATTATCAATTATTCAACTTTAAAGTACAAAATTCGTGTTTGGAATAGCTGTTTGATTGCTTCAAGAAGAAACGATATTTTCGAATTGGTATTGTTACCTGGGTAACTAGCATATAAATAAATTATAATGATCACCTTATCACGTTGATCGCTTTGTTAATGTTCCAGACAGTTTCTTGTGTTTTCGTTGTATTTTTTGAATATTTTAGTTTTTGCTTGACAATTCATAGCGCAAAAATTAATTCTTTTTTTTTTTTTTTTTTAATTTTGCTGTGTCGGTATTGCGACCTTTCGTGGTAACGAAAAAATTCTCGATGAAGGCTTTTCTGGCCTCGAACTTTGAATATTTCTGCACAGAGTCCAGCTGATAATACAATTCCCACTTTTCTCGATGTAAACGGAAATATTAAATTTTTTGTTTTCATGAGGGTCTTATGTTAACAATTCGGGGAAGCCTTTGAATACCCAAATTTCATAACAAGAGATTTGAGGATACAGTCATTATTATTATAGAGTAGCCCTCCTGCATTACTGATATTACTTTTACGCGATCGAAGTGGAAGTGAATAATTTCCAGTTTTTCCGATGCTAAGGACTGAAGAATGATAAAAGCCATCACTTCGTGTAAAACAAGAGTTTAGCATATTGATCTGGATATTTAAATAACTCTAAATTAAGCCCAAGAACCTGTTTGTAGAGCTGTTTCATTCATGACTCAGTCATTATCATATCGAGACATAATGTCTACTCCCGTAGAAAATGAATACCTTAATATGTCGTAGGGTTGTCGATTTTTCTGGTTGAAGATTTTAGTGCCGGTATTATCGATTGATGCGTGTCTTAATTTTTTACCCTTGACGG